GAACATTTTAATACATAGCATGTTCCCTCTAAACTGTTGAAAAATGCATGATGATACTTTGCTCTGTTTTCATATTTCAGGGTCTTCCATAAACATGAATTAAAGTTATATATTACTCTGTGAGTATTGTCGTATTGTTATATTGTTAAATATAGTGTCTTTATACTGATTGTCATATATAGTTTGTCATATTGTTAAAGCAATTTCCTATATGCAAATGCAGAAAAGTTAAAGGAGAATTCTGTCTGCAAAAAATGTCTTTGCACTGGAATAGCAAACATGACACAAGCAACTGCCTGTGAGTTTCTGGGCTGTGTGTGCACGTTTTCTCCCAGACCACCCTCTGCCCATGTCCTGTTAATCACCTGTAAGATGATTAGTTAGTCATCGCTTTGAATGACTGAGTAGCTGCAGTTTAATGCAAGAAGTCAAAGACAGAGAAAGATGAAACTCAACAAGTTCAGGTGTTTCAACAAGTAAAGAAGTTTTAATCAAATAGATTGTGTATTTTTTTTCCAAGTATTGCTTGATTCAAGAGGCAGATGAAGGAGTGGTTAGTGTTTCCATGTTGATTTGATCTCAGTTTAGGTGTACATATTCAAAGGCGTTCAGTGCATTTTTACTGTCATCATATAATATAATGATTTGTTACTGAAATTCAAAACGTCCCCAGCCAGCTCTCTTCCTGCACCAAACCTTTGTGCTCCAGATGATGCACAAGAACAAGTCAGAAAGCAATCACTACCCTTATGCAACCTACAAAGGTTCTTATGAACTTTGCAGGCTGAAGCCCACTGAATTCAGTCTAAGCTGGAAGTACCCTACAGCCACTTAAGGCTCTGGGCATTACATTTGGGAACAAAGTCATTTTAAAATTCAATAGAAGTGTGTAAACACTAGCAAACATAAGCTATTCTCTTGCTTTTTCCCTATATTCAATCTGATTGCCAGATCTCCTCTCTGTAGTTTATTTCTCTGTTTGGTACACATGATTAGCAAATGTCATTTCAACCAAATGTTTTTTTGTCTGTTAATCCATGCAGACCAAATACATCAAAATTTAAATATTTTGATCAATAATTTTCTATAGCTTTGTAAACAAAGATTTAAAAGAACAGTGTGAATTGGGCTGGAAAAAGAATTTTATGAAGAAAGTTGCTTTTCTCCCCAGCTCCATTACTTATATGCTTAGAGTTTAATATTCTTATAAAAGAGGCATTTTCTTGAAAAAACTCAGATATAAGCAATCCCTTATTTACACTAGCAGGAGCTGAGGAACAAAAAAAAGCACCCCAAAACAAAACACAAAGAAAGCAGGAGTAGTCGAACCTCTTTTATATCATATCCTTTTTCTTTCCGCATGGCTGAGGGTATCTGTCTCAGTCAAATCAGCCTTGCATGAAAAAACTCCATGCTTCATGTATTCCCCAGACAGTGGGAAGAACACGACGAAAACCACTCCAAAAATGTTACAGGTGTCTAATTCAGTATGATGTGAGCACTCACAGCCTGTGATGCCTAATGGGACTCTGTAATTCTCATCCAGAATTAGCAGTACAGGTCACCGAGAAGCTCAGGTTCTTCAGGATCTGGGAGATCTTGAATGCAAACCACCCCGAGGGAAAGCATCTTAACTCTCTCACACGACCGCTTCAGCACATCTCAGAGAGACATAACCTAAATGTAGAGAAGCTGAATTGTATTCCCTGGGGAAGCTTTCTTCCCCCCTCCCCATACAGGTGTACCTAATCTCAAACGCAGCAAACTGTGAGTCATTTTAAAGCTTGTTCCTACCTCTTTGAACAGAGCTTGGAGGTGTAAAACTTTGAAATCAAGTAGACCTCAAAGGATCAGCATTGCCCAAGAAGGACAACTGGTCCGAAAGATTAAAAGGCTCTTAATAGAAGAGAAAACCTATAAACACAAGACTCAAAGGAAATAATTTTCATTGGGCTCTGGACGCCCCTGCCACAGCATGGTGCTGAGGACTAGACCACAGCGAGCTTTGTAGTGGTTCAGACTTACAAAGGATTTTGCCCACTTACATATTAGAGACAAATGGGAGCTTTTCATCTGGAAATGTCCTTAGTTTCCCCCTCTACAAAAGGAGTCTTGTCTGCAGCCCAGCTATACTGGGTAGGGAATGGCGAGGGTGCTCACCCTTGGGTGGGCTACCTTGTAATTGTAACTACACTTTGATCACAAATTTTTATATATATATATATCAAAACCTCCACACTGTTAGATGAATCAGTTGACATTAGAGTCAATACCCAAATACTTGGGCTGTATTTAACAACATCAATAAGTTGTTAGATCATTTTAATTGCTATGAATGGCATAGCTTCTCCATGCTGCCTCTCAGTCCATATTCGTCTCATATTTCTGTTTTACATTGCAAACTCCCTAGGCCAGGGCGTTCAGTTCTGTGGTTTTTAGCACCTAGCACCATAGGATCCTTCTCCATGGTTATTTAATGCTACAGCACTGCTGCTAGTAAATAGATGATCATCGCTTTTGATTCCATATCACAGGATTCTCCTCACGTATTCTGAGAATGCTCCATTCTGGTGATTGCTGTGAAGGCCAGTATTTAGCAGGATATGTTTTTTTAGTTTGCCCACTGCACAATCTATTGTTAGAGCGCAGATTCAGCCCTCATGTGCCTTTTCATGCATAGCAAAGAGAGATATTTCTTTTCTCCACTGTTAGCAGCATTAATGATACCCTTCTGAAAATGATGTGTGAATAACATCATTAAACAGCCTTGCAAGTGCAGGTGCAAAGGGCGGGGGGGGAGGGTTGTGTTGTACATATGGAGAAATTATATATTACATGATAAAAATGAGGTATAAGCTGTAAGAAGAACTAGGAAAGACAACACAGAGAGATAGATGATCGCTGTAGGTCACTTCCAACTGAACTATTCTATTCTATTCTATGCTAAGCTAAGCTAAGCTAAGCTAAGCTTACTTGCTCCAATTTACTCAACTCTTCTTCTAGACCAAAGGAGCTTTCAAACCCAAGGTCTTTCTCCCTGTGTTTCAAGTAAACTCATCAGGTGAAAACCATCTCCCTGTTGGGACAGTTATTCAGCAAGTCTGCTGGTATAAACACATATCAATTGAAGGCCCATTTTATAGATACTAACTTGGACTCCTTAATTGCAATAGCTTCCCATTAGAGTTAATTATCTGGCCCAGAAATATTGTTTGTCATTTTGGTTTATTTTTCACTAAGTCAGTCTATACTTGGAGGCACTCCAGCATGGCCCACCAAATATCTTGGCCATACCATGTACCTCAACAAGTGGCAGAGGCTGGTTTGTCCAGCTTGTCTGAGGAGCAAAGCTGTCACCTTTCCAAAGGATGTCTTAGCTGCACTTCAAAGGAAATAAAAGTGAAATTTAATGACTGTATATTTGACCTTCTTTACAGGATTTCCCACTCTATATTTACCATTTTTATTTCACAGAGTTTACTACCAGCTTTATGTAAAAACCAGCTTCCTTTCTGGCCCCAAGAGATATTATAGCAAGTGCTATTGAAAGTGCTGGAGTCCCTCCTTTGTGCCTTGTTGAGTTTCCTTCTTCTACAGTCTCCTGCTCTGTGTGCCATGCAGAACCTCCTCTTGCAGGATGAAGTGGGCTAGTGATACACACTTTTTAGTCTGAGACTATCTGTGGGTTTGGTACTTTTATTTTTCAGTGTGGGCTGGAAATTAGAGAAAAACGGACTTGTAGTTTCATCTGTGTATCTGTGAATTAAGGGGATGGGCATTAGTAGCAGCTGCAGATATGTCTTCAGGTGTTTCCGTAGGATTTTGTGAGCATAAACAGGTTACAACTACACAAGAAATAAATCAAGTCTTTAATTATAAACTCTGAAATGTCCTTAAATCAATGCATGCAACAGGAAAATTTCCAGAGTTAAATGGTGTGATACAAGGTAGTCTGCTGCTTCAAAGGTATTTTATGGGCTTCAAAATGCTATGTGGGGGGATATGAAAGGGTTAAGCATCTCTCTTGGAGTCAGCTTGCGAGAAGCTTTGACAGTTAGGCTTCATGAGTGCAACCATGAAATTAATTCTTGCCAGGGAAAACAAACCACAGACAGACCCACTCATGCACCAACTAGTCACAGTTTGCAAGGTTGGCTAAAGTTTATCAAAATCCCCAGACAAAAAATGTCATTAAGATAGAGTTAAGGTTATAGACAGATACCAATTCCCAGGCAAGAAACTTCATTAAGGTACACTCAAGGTTGTAAACATATGTGCCAATTAAATTCAAACAACAAGATCCAAACACTGTCATTATTTACAACGTTAAATATTTGGAAATTAAAAGTTACTGCTAGAGATAATATGGTTTCTATAAAATTCAGAATCATGTTTCAACAAACTGAACTTCTGCTGCTCTTCAGTATTACCTTACCTTCTATTTCTAGTTCTGACGCTCCCTGCCCTGGGATACTGTGAAAGCTAAAAGTCTACATTGGTTCAAAAAATTCTGCACAGATTTGTGGAAGAAAAAGTCAGCTGTAGGTACTGGAAGCAAAGCAGACACCGTTTCTTCAGGAGTACCCTGAGCCACAAGTCCTGAAGACCTGGAGAACGTTCTGGGGAAAATCTCTTTTGACTTGTTTGTTCTTATATCTGTCCATAAAGCTGCGATTAGCCGCTCACAGAGACAGGCTGTTAGGGTGGATGGTCCTTTGGTCTGAAGCAGTGCTGCTGCCATCACAGCGTCCCCCACAGTCACGGCATGATAGTAGACTAGATCTCATGTGTAAGGAAGCTTTGGCAAGCAGTGCACTGTCTTAAAGAACACAGGATGCAAAACAAGTAATTAAATGTGAAATCCTTGCAACATTGAAATTTCAATTGTAGAGTTTAGAAGGGACACTCTGCCTCTTAAATGCAGCATTAGACCCTTGAGATATTATTTAATTAGATTTTTCATTATAACCTAGTTGTGAACATTGTCTTTTCTTTTTTAGCTTCAATAGTGATTGGGAAATGGTGGTGTGAGATGGAGCCCTGCCTAGAAGGAGAGGAATGTAAGACATTGCCTGATAATTCTGGATGGATGTGTGCGACTGGCAATAAAATCAAGACCACCAGAGTAAGTCGTCTTTCTGTCTATACCTAGGAGATCTTAATAGGAAAAGGAGTCACTGATAATTGCTCACACTTATCTTTTCCATCATCATGGCTACTGTAAAAGTCTTCAAGATCATTGTATACCTCCTCAGCCACCCAATGCTCATGGCCATAATTTAGTGATAATTTGCATGGTTTCAGGCTGGTCAGCTGAGTCCAAGCTTGATAACTAGCAGCTTGGAGCTGCTGAATCGCCAGGTCACTTTCTTACAGACATTGTTACCTTAGAAAAAAAATGCTAGTTCACATCTCTGGGTCCCTTTCTGGTGCCTAAAGGGAAGAACATCAGATGGAAGATATCTGCTGGATCCTATGTGTGTTCCTTGGCTGTTCCAGGCCACATTTCTTAGCAGCTGTACAGGTGCTTTGTAGCATGAAATGGTGCTGAGGAGTCAAATCTGCATTTCAGCTCTTACTTCAGAGCAGCTCTAGCCCCATGCACCCGTCAGCGACATACTCAAGATGCTGAAGATTCAGGTAACACAGGCCAACGGGTGACAACAACTTTCACCATGCATTGCTAGGCAAATGCAGAGATACAGCTGCAATGAGAGAGGCGGGGAATGACCTGGCTAAACTCCTACTATGAGATTACCTTTGGAAAAAAATTGTTTTTCAAAAATAAATTCTAGCTTTTCTTTTGCACTGTGCGATTTTTTCAGAAGCATTTATACCTATATTCAACAATTTTAATTGAATTACTTTTATACCACCATTGAATTTTTCTCCAGGAAAATTACATGGTTGTCAAGGCAAAATATTTTTTATAAATGAATAAATTTTGGTTTTCAGCCAAGTGGAAAATAACTTTTGAAACCTGCTAAATGAAAAAAAGCAATTTTTAAAGAATTTTTTCCCTGTTTATTTAGAAATTCTACATACTCATACCCAGCTACTAATTCACAGGAACGTGAAGCTTAGTGTCATGATTTCCTGACTTCCTCCTCTTTCTACAAACCTAACTCTAGTCGTTTTTTACGTCTTCTAGGCCTTTTGGTGAAGGAGGAGATTTTACCCCAACTGATCCCCATGCCTTGTGATTTTTTTTCTTTCCCTCCATATGATTCACCCCAGGACAAATGATTTGTATTGCAACTCCAGTTTCTTGAACGGTGCTTTCTGGCATGGCTAATCTGACCACCACTTTGAATTACTAGGATACATATTAACGAGGAGATTTTCTTTGCAGAAGGCAGTAAGTGGCCCCTGAAAACAGGAGGCATATTATCTCTTTGCCATCTCCCAGAGCAAAGGAGAAAACACGGAGGGAACTGTGATTCTTTGGCATAATTTCTTCCTGGAGTGTTGTTGTTCCTGTAAACCACCCTATGCTCAGAACCGAAATACCACTGGAAGATTGTGCCTTCCTGTATGTGCCTTGCAGTGCAATTAAAAAACAAACAAACAAACAAACACACCAACCAAACAACCCAGAAAAAACTTACTACGTGTCCTTTTCAGTGAGGCAACATTTCTCTCACTGAATTAGGGATTTAAAATGGAAGAAAGTGATATTAAACAAGTAATAAACAACATGAAAAAGAATGTTATACTTTTGTTAAATTACAATAATTCAGTACTTCTGCAGTCTGTCTGCAAATAGTATAATTTAGGAATTGCATTTGCTTTTTTCTGTGAAATTGTCCTGCTCTTAACTCCCCCAATCCTCATCATGTAAACTAGTTTTAGGCGATAGCCTGCATCTAGAAGTGATTGCTAGAAATTTAGCAGCTTCATTAATATGCAGATGTATGGTCCAATGTATTCAGTATGCATTATTATATTTCATTTAAATTAAATACTTACAGAGTGAGTGCTCATAACTGAAAAAATATTTCTTCATTTACCCACAGGAGTTATTTTAATTAGCTTGTGAGGGTAATACCTTATGGTGCCGCTTCCAGTAGAATTTTGCTTTGTTGCTTTAAAATATCATTACAGAACACAATTGACAAAGGCAACGTGACGTGATGTGCTTAGCAACTGTCTCTTGCATTTTCTAAGCAAAAATTCTACTTCATAATCCCTGAAACTTTGCTTGAATCCATGCTGCTGTGTCAAGTCTAGCAACATAAATATAAAATAATAGAAGCAATCGGATCCTGAATCAGGCATTTTTCTCTTTGTTTTGTCATTTCAGACGGCATCAGAGAAAGAGATTACGCTATAATCTGTACTGACCCCAGTCCAGGCTGCAAGATTGGGCCATGTGTGTCTGATTTATGTAGTTAAGGAAGTTAAGACAGCAGAAGCAGCAAGACAAATCAGTCAACATCCTAGACATATCTGTGGTGATTAGCCAAAAAGCCAGAGCAAGTCACCATAGGCTGTAAACTGTAAAATGTTTTAATGAAGGCTCTTCGTTACACTAAATATATTTACATTAGGCAGCTGCTGTCCTGACAAGGAAAACATTCGCATTTATGACTCGGAGGATTAAAATTCCTATTAGTATATCCTTCAAGGCCCACAGTAAATCACATATAAGTATGTGTGTATGTAAAAATATATATATATGAATACGTTTATATGCACAATATATGTAATTTTATAGGGTAGTGTATTACTTCATGTTTGGTTCTCAGATGTGATTAATCCTGTTTAGTGTCAGAAGAAGGTGGACAACAGATCCGGTGAAGGCTTTGCCAGCACACCCTCCATTCCTTCCTTTTCATGCATTTATTCCTGTATTTAGTCCTTTAGCATAGCTCACTAATTAAGCTGTTAAAGCCAAAGATATAAAGCTCACAGCCTCTGTAAATTGATTTGTTTTCTATGGATGGTCAGAGCAGGTGACAAACACAGGAAAGAAATCATTTTGTAATTCAATTTTTGGAGCCGTTTCAATGCTTTTTTTTATTCCCTATTCACTCTTTTTTTTAAGAACAAACGTTTCAATGCTATTCTTAAAAATGTGGGGCTCTTGGAGTAGTACTAGGACTTGGCTGGAGATCATACCACTACATTTCAGCAGAGCAACCAGCACCGGGGGAAATGCAAGAGCACGGTCGCAGCCTGGGTGCTGGAGATGGTGCCCACAAGGGCACATAAATGCCTGTAAGAACCAGAGCTGCTGAAAAACATGACAACATGGCTCTTCATGCATCCCATGCTTTGTCACTTCCCATCTGAGCGAGGAAGTCACTCACAAGCTCTTGCCATTGGATTGGTGTCTAGACACAACTTTCTGTGCCCCGCTTTGCAGGGCTCTTGAGGAGCATGGGGCTTTCTGCCCGGGCTCAGGTGCACACTGCACTGCAAAATGCCCTTTTTATGTAATCCACACAAGTTACACCTGGCATTCATGTACTAGCCCTCAAAATACTTCAACAGGCTGTTTTTCTGCTGATACTGTGGAGGATGGAAATTAAAGCATTGAGCACTTGGGGACTGGCAAAACAGCTCAGCTCGGAGCATCTCTCCAGCTTCACAGCCTGCACCCTCCATTACAGCTCACTCACCCCCCAGTTTCCAGACTAACACTTGGTTTACCACACCTTTTGCCATCAGAGAAATGCAGGTCATTTCTATGGTGCCCAGAGGGACATGAGCATCACATTTCTTAGCAGCTGCTGCTCATCTCGTGCTGCAGCAAATGGCACCTGCGGTGCCCACAGCCCCTTGGCACCGTGGTCCCTTGTCACTCCCTGCTCCTACACCAACCACGCAAATTCTTGAGGCAGCGTACAAACAAGCCAGGGATGTATTCACCTCTGAGACAGAAAACCCAGGAGGGTCGCTTGTCAGTGGCAAACCAGGAGAGCTGAAAATGGGAACTGGGGGAAGGAAGGAAATGGGAAATGAAACCAGAGATTTATTTTATTTTATTTTTTTTAAGCTATCCAACTAGTTTAATATGTCAGATGATTTCCAGATTAAGTTTTTCTTTAGAGCAGTGAAGAAACCCCTCTATTTTTGTGATCAGTCTCTGTAATTAGGAGGTCAGTTCAAAGCAGTAGAGCACAAGATAGTAAATGTCTCTTGCTATAGAACTTACTGCTGCATTTCATCATATCACCTAGTGCTGAGCTAATAATTTGTAGCCCTGATTTAATGCTCTAGCCTGCTTGTATTCAAGTCAATTTGAGTTTCATTGCTGACCTAGTCATCTAGCAAAGGGCCAGACCCCTTGTGCCATTCATCTGCATGTATCAGTGCAGGAAAGAAACAGAAGCTTCTCTTCGAGAGCGCTATTTTTGCTTCTGGTCGGTTGTTCTTATATCAGCATCCTAAAAAAAAACCTCTGGGCGGTGGTGTTTCCTCTACGAGCCATTAGTGTGCTCTCTCAGATCAATTGTGGTGTTAGTCATAAAGAATGATGGTTTTACGGTCTGTTGCAGGCCATGTTATCTCACCCAAGGTGAGTAGATGAAGTCGGTCAGGCTTTCCTGTCTATTATATAGCTAGTCACTCCTGTCCTGCCCCCCTTTGGGTAGGCGGGTTGGTGGGGGCATCCAAATGAACCTGAAAGCTGGATCCATCTGCATGTCCCTGTCTAGCAGAAGCTACTAGTATCACTCTGAGAAGGGGAGGGTGGAAGGTGGGCGTGAGCATGGCCCCATGCCCAAAGCTGTCCTGGCATCTCCTGCACCACCAGCCCAGGCGATCAATGCACATCCAGGATCTCCCAGGGCAGGAGCTCGCTCAGGGTCTGCCTCTTAGACATCCTTAGATCCTGTGCCACAAGAGAAAAGAAAACCCCCAAATACTGCAATTTAGACTCAGCTGTATGATGAGCAGGGCAAAGTGCCACGAAGCCTGGGTCTGTCTTTCCTCTCATAACATTTTTGTATAACTGACTCTTTTGCACTTTCTTGCTGCAGATCCACCCCAGGACCTAACAGAGCGCCGTCTGCATGGAGACAGTGAAAGCCCTGCTGATTTATGAGGACAAAGTATTGAAAGTTTAAAACCATCTCAGCATTTACAAGCCAAATGGATTTCTTATTTGCACTTTGACTGTTTACCAGAAAACAACAGTGGCTTTACTGTGTGAAAGAAGGTATTCAGTGGAAGTAATGCCCCTGATTTTTGACAGCTCAAAAATAAAAATGAAGAAAATGGTTCCTTTGGTAAAGTTTCTGAGATTGCGAAGTACAAACAGTATAAGTTTGGATCTACAATTTACTTTATACCAGTTAAAGTATATATA